GTCCTTTGTTCTAAGACGGAACAGGTACGGCAACGTCTTTACCCTCCGAGAACCAGTTAGCGTCTATTGTGAACAAAGGGCTTTACATATCGACATCTCAGCGTCAGTATGTCTTGTTACAATTTCAGCAAGCCGGGCCCCTAGCCACCCACTCTTTGGGCTTACATCACCCATCTTAAGAACAAAGAAAGAACTGAATCACGAGTTTCGTAAGAGTCACAAAACATTGGATCATCCCCTTTCAATACACGGTTCACGGCGATTTATAATGCGTAGTAATGTACGCAATTCTTACAAACTCGTGATTTAAGTTCTGTTAAAATACAAAAGTTACATAAAATTAAAAGTATGCGTAAATTAGGCGAATTATATTACTAAAAAGAGTAATCGGTTACAGTATGGAGGATGGGGCCAGTGGAGGGTTATTGTGAACACGGTAATAAACCTTCGGGTACAATAAAATGTTGGGAAATTCTTGAGTAGCTGCATGATTGGCGACTTCTCAAGAAGGGCTCAGCTCCATGGAGTTATATGACATAAACTCCGTCCTAAGTGCAACAATTTATTGTAGTTCTTTCGTCTTGCTTTCTTCTACACTACATGTTTCGGCCGCAAACGGCCATCATCAGGTGTATACTCTCACGTAGCTGCTACTCTTCACGTAGTTTAAAAATACTAGTCTTCCCAATTGTTCATTTCGCTGTTGCTAACAGGTTTCGATATATCGGAATCTTCCCCGCTGATATCTGTCACATATGTACAAAATCTTTGTTAATTTGATTTTCATAAACTGGCACTTTTAATTTTTTGTTTTTTCCAAATTTTAAAATTTAAAATTCTCAGGGTTACCCGCCCTATGTCTACAGTGCTGCAGCGGCTACTTTTTGTTTTCAGCACAGTTCAGGTATTATTCTGTGTAGGCTCCCTGTGTGCATGCCGCTGCTTATCTTTAATACGTGTGTAGGTTAACAAAGATTTTGTACATATCTGACAGATATCAGAGGGGATGATTCCGATATATCGAAACCTGTTAGGAGGGGCGAAATGAACAATTGGGAAGACTAGTGTTTTTTAAATTTTAAACTACGTGCAGTGTAGCAGCTACGTGAGAGTATACACCTGATGATGGCCGTTNCCAGAAGACAACTTTCTTAACTACAATAATTGTTGCACTTAGGACGGAGTTTATGTCATATATTGTGTAGAGTGTAACAGGATGCTTAAATATAATATTCCATGGAGTTAGTTGTTTAGTCTTTCTCCAGCACTTCCCATCTTCTTCCTAAAGAGCAACACGCCTGGTTCCACACCCCCACAAGGCAGGAGGCTACCTTCATATCCAAATGTTACATTTTTAATACTACAGGCACGTTTATCATTAGTACTTACCTGTATCAAAATTTGACTATTACTATGTCCAAAATGACAGATTGCTATTCGAAAACTGAAAAGGTGTAACTGCCTGGTACTGATTAAATTCTAGCAGAAATTATTCCAGCAGGAGGTGAAACATAACGTTCTCAAATCCATAAATTAATTAATTCTATTTGTAATAGGGAGAAATGTCCCAAGCTCTGAGAGGGGTCCGTTATTGTACCTATATACAAGAAGAGTGATGTGGCTGTAGTGATCATCGACGAACAATATTGTAACATGAGGCCTGAAAGCCGAAATAGTGGAGCCAGAGGAGACTTCCATTGCTAGGCAACTGCTCGGTAAACACATTCCCGCAGCAAAGAATACCCAAGTAACAACAGAGGTATTGCTGGAAACGATTTTTTTCTATTAGGTCCGTGCAAAGTGGTTATAAAATAATGGAGCTGAGGTCTGGCAGTGCTTTGTGCAGTCGAGTTCTGCAAGGGAGACTGGGAAGAGGTGGCTGTCCAGTTCAGTTAGGGGAATAGCTGGCAGGCAGTTCTGAACGAGAGTCGGTGAAGGAAGGACCTGAGTTTCCAAGCTGACGAATCTCCACGGTTAGAAACAGTTGCCAGGGAATGACTGGTGAAGACACAGCAGGCTGAAAATAGCTTAACGTGTCCTAGTGATTTGTTAAGTGTGTAGATCAGCGATAGCTCTGTAATTACTTGTAGTTAGGACAAAATTATAGTTTTGCAAATCCTAATTTTTTAAGTTTCTAGACAGCAGACGAGAAGACAAAAGGTTCTGGACTGAATGGTAGCAAGCATTACCCGAGTTCAATCGCCTCTTAATTTCCTCCATAATCAGGTTTTGATCTGTTATTGTTGTTCCCAAATATCTGAACCGTGCCACATTTTCAAAACATCTGTTTCCTATCTTTATGTCATGATTTTGCCCTGCATTCTGGTGACGAGACAGCAACATATACTTAGTTTTCTTTGTGTTTACTTGTAGACCAACCTCTTTACTTGTATCAATAAAGTTTGTGTGTTGCTCATTATGGTATCTATATTATCACCCAGTAGATTCACATCATCGGCATAGGCCAACAGCTGATGTGTCCCGTTTAATTTCAGTCCCACCTGGTTTCCCTGGACCTTCCTAATGGCATACTCTAAAGCAAAGTTGAAAAGGAGTGGCGATAAAGCATCTCCTTGTTTTAAACCATTCTGGATACAAAAATTATCAGACAAATATTTACCTACACGGACTTTACCATACATTTCGATTAAACAGATTTTAATCAGCCTGACTAGTTTCATGGGTATCCCACTCAGAATAAGGTACAATACTTCCCTCTTAACCGAATCATAGGCTTTCTTGAAGTCAATGAATAGCTGATGTACTTTCTCATTGTACTTCCATTTTTCTCCAGTATCTAACGAATGCAAACGATCAGAACCGTAATTGATCTGTTACGTCGAAATCCACACTGATTATCCCTAATGACTTCATCTATAAGCCTGAATACCCATGATACTAGTTAGGGTCCTTCATGTGTTTTCAATTGAAAGTCATAGAAAATTCTGCATCTGAAAACTCTTGTCTGATATGTTTAATATTCAGAAATACCCGAAACAAGTAGATGCTTTACTGCCACTGCTTTTCAAACTTTTCATTAAAGCAGATTGTAGCTGAATTTGGAGATGATATATTTTCAACTGACGGTAACATTTTATACTGTAAGACGTGTGACACAAAATTAGTGGCAAAAAAATATCTCACGGTACAACAACATATCGGCCGCAACAAGCATTTTCGAGCAGTGCAAATTTCGAACAAAAAGAAATCTGTGCAAATGTTACTGCAACAGTGTTCAACTGAAGGCAGAAATAAGTCATCTGATATTTTCAGAGATTTGTGATGCTCTGGTGTCCGCAAATATTCCGTTTTGGGCCCTGAAAATTCTCAACCTCGTGTGGTACCTGAAGTTTCAGAAGCATGTTCACAAGAGCCAATCAGAAAACCCACAACAGCCAGATGAATTCATTTTACATTGTCACACCCTACTCTTTTAAGACCCACTCCTTGTTTCATTTCTTTCCTCTCATTCATCTCACCCTTCTTGATTTCATCACCCCAATACTTAGTGATGAGAGTAAATTATAAAGCTTCTCATTATGGAACTCTCCAGGCTCATTTTACTTCCTCCTTCTTTGTTCCCAATATTCTTCTCAGCGCCCTGTTCCCAAACACATTGGTGAGAGACCAAGTTAAGGTTAAACATGTAAATAAAACTAAAGAATGACTTCTAAAAATAATTCTGATTCATTACTGAGCATGATTTCTGTTCCTGTTCACTTACAAATATAATATGAGAATACTCATGTCTAGGAAATGTGGGAACCTCAACATCTCACAACCCTATGAGCCTCCACGGCCTGTTACAGGGATACCTTTACTTTTTACTTACTTATACATATATTTCTAGCAAATTAGTACACAATAATATTAAATGCGACTACTCTCGGTCAACTACATGTTAAACGAATAACACTGCTTTCACTAGTACGTATTTTATATACAGCAATTTAAGTACAGTTACAACAAATTATTATAATTTAGTATGTTACATTCCACCACTTTTGACAATATCATTCATTATTATAATTTATTATGTTAACTTCTTCAAAGTATGTAATTAACAGACAATAAGTTATAAGTGATATTTACTTTACAGCTTACTGAAACTGAACATTGAAAATTAAAAAAAGTTTACAAAATTAGAAAACATAAAATACAAAATCATGAAATGCACATTATCAGTACAGATCCCATATTTTGTGCAATATCACACATTGGAACAATCACCCTTCAGTATTTTGCCTATAATCATGATGATGGTGGTGGTGGTGATTATGGTGATGAAACATATGGACTTCTTCTCTTTCAGGCAGTGGTTGAAGTGAGTTATGAAACACTTCAGGTACATTCTGAGTAGTACTGACATTCCTCTAAAAGCATCATTTCATAAATTCAATAAATATACAAATGGGAATGAGTGACTATACAGATTACATGACCAATATATTCAGTTGATTTTATCAACTGCTGACTTAAAATCTGACCAATCCCAAGGACAGATTTTTGGAAGAATAAATTACTTATTTGAATCATGTTCCTCTGTTAAATAGGTATCATATGCATTCACTATCAAGTATGTTAATGAATCAATTAAACTGTGTACCAATCCTGATTACCAGGCACTGGCCCAAGATAAAGCTTTGTACCACAAATGCTGCATTTTACATGGCAGTGTTAAGTCAAGTTTATCGCCTGCAGTATGATAATTCTGCATAACAATCTATGTTGAAATCTACTGAAAACTAGCATCTCTCTGTCTTCTGTACACGAAATATAAAAGAAATCTTCTTTCTTACTACAAATGTAGCCACTGCCAACACGGCTTATGGTGTACTGTATGTTCAACATAATGAAATGTATTTCATCATTGATGTCACCAAGATCATAATACACCACATACAGAGATTATGACTGCTACCCTTCAGATGGAAATCAGTTGTATTTGCTTGAATAGAAATAAACAATGTCATTTACATATCATGTTTACTTCACCTTAAGTTTAATTATTTTCATAGTTCTTTCAACTGATAAACCAACTGGTATTGTCAGTGCTTCAGAGTCTCTTAATGAAGGCTACAGGTTCACTTCCACCATTTTACTTTCCATTTATTCTGCTTTTATTTTACCCTATCATAGTTATGTAGTCTGACATACAACCAAAATCACAGGTCATGCAGATGTTTCTGGGGAATATTTCTCACCAGTCACAATTCTTCATCCTGATAGCAACACTTAGGAGAGTAATTATGAGCTCACAGGACATGAACTCAGAAGAATGTTATTCAGACTTGCCATATCTGTCCAATCCTTTGGGTTTTTACCAATAACGACATTGCGAATGCAACCCTTGAAGTTGTCTCTTGTTCCTAATGTACCACTGGGAGCACCCTCTGGTAACACAAGAAGAGACAATTAAAGTTAATGTAAATGAAAAGTCAAAATGGCACTTCAAAATATTATTAGATGTAATTTCATACTTCAAATAGAAGACATACCAGGCAAGATTTACCACATGGAAGAAATAATTTTATGTTTTTCTTTATTTTCAGGCTTTCTAAACAGATGTTTCCAAAATACACGGCATAACTTCAGGAATGAGATCCTCATATGTAGACAATAAAAATAGTTTATATCAACATAGGTCTGGAAATGCACAGTTTCCAAGTTAAGGTTTTCTAAGACCACTGAATGATAAACTGAATTTCGTAATTCCCACAGACTGGTTCCATCATTCACTACATTAAGACAGTCATGGTATCAGTCCTACACAATCTTGGAAAGTTTCCAAATCTTAATAGGAGAAGTGTACAGTAACTATGTGTTAAGTGTGTGATGATTGCGAATTGTTGAGGTGATATACACAAATCAGGAGCTAGCCGATATGCATTTCATGTATGGTTTGGCACTTGGCAATGCTGTAATGGCTTGTCATTTCTACCAAGAAAGGTATCCAGGATGAAGATGTCAAGATAGGAATAAATTTGTAAGTATCCATCGCTGTCTTTGTAAATGTTGGAATTTTACACCTCGTGTTGCCAACAGGGGATGACCAAGATCTATGAGTCCTGAAGTAGAGGAGGATATTCTGGATGTTGTGACTAAAACTCTGGAATCAGCACATAAAGGGTATCAATGCAAGCGGGCATCACTCATCCGACTGTCTGGAGTGCGCTCCAACAACAACAGCTCTATCCCTGCCATCTGCATTGTGTACAGGCCTTGTCACTACAAGATTACCCTGTGTGAGTAACCTTCTGCCAGTGGTTCTTAATTTTCCTGCCTTTTTGATATTTACAGATGAAGCACAGTTCACAAAAAATGAAGTCCAAAATTTTTACAATCAGCATCTGTGGGCAGATGAAAATCCACACGTGATTCTTCCATCACATCACCAACAGCGGTTCTCCATCAACATCTGGGCTGGTATTTGTGGTGATAATTTATTTGGACCCCACGTACTTCCAAACAGGCTTACAGGGCGGAATTACAAAGCTTTCTTGGAAAAGAACATGCCTGATTTATTGGCCAATGTGCCACTGCTCATTCATTGAGAACTGTACTTCATGCATAATGGCGCTCCTATACATTTCAGTCCCGTTGCCCAAAGGTACCTGAATTTAAAGTTTCCTGGTTGGTAGATAGGTAGAGCTGGACCAATTGCCTGGCCTCCAAGCTCACCTAATTTAAATCCACTGGATTTCTACTTGTGGGTCCGTTTAAAAATGTTGATGTATTTGTCTGCAATGGATGATGTGGAAACTCTCTGAAATTGAACTGTGGAAGGTTTTCAGACAATACACAACATGCCATGATTTGGGTGGCAATGAGATATCAAGTTGAGGCCTGTATTCAGGTAGGAGGTAGGTATATGGAACATTTACTGTAAACTAATATGAAGAGCTGAGTGTCATAGACAGATCTTAAAAGCATGGAAACTATGCATTTCCAGACCTATGTTGATATAAACTGTTTTTATTATCTATTTATAGGGAACTCATTCCTGAAGTTAAGCCATGTATTTTTGAAACACTATGCATAGCATGGTGTACAAAATCAATATTGCAAGACCACATGATGACATTTCTTTCACAGAGCCAAGGCAGTATGGTAGTTTTGTGCAGAAAATGGGAACACAATTTTTTGGCACAGATTGCATCTTGCAACTGCTTCAGAAATTCTGTGTCCAACATTCATTTGGATTCAGTTTGTTTTGTGGTTGCAGTAAATGATTTCTGGTTTATCAAACATGGGTGATAACTGTTGGAATGAACAAAATGACTCAATTCACTTGCACACTTATTTTACATTTGTATATTATTTTGCAATTGTGTGTGTATAATGTATCATATTAATGTATTATTGTATTACTGAATAGGGTGTAATGTCTTTTTTATTACTGTATTACCAACTGACAAGGCTGCTTGTTGTACAGCCACTATTGTATCTTATTTTATTGTATGTGGACATCTTCTATATCCTAGGTGATGATCACTGTTATGGATTACTCGAAGAAAAATGAAATGAATGAAAGAATGAATGAATGAATTTTAAATTTTATATGAAAATGATGAAAGATGATGTCATAAAGTCTTCTAGAACATTTATGGCTAGGAAACAATGAATAGAACATAGGTTTCTAATGACAGACCTGACAACTGAAAGAATTGATCTAAATGTGGAAAAATGAGTGAAGTGGTGAGAATTTATTGACGACTTGCTACAGAAGATTGCAAAATAACTGAACATGAATACAGAAACTGTAAGACTGATTCTTCTGACTTGAGATCTGGGCAAGAAATATAATCATTGCCAAAATGGTACTCAACATATCTCAGCAGCATGCAAAACATTAGAAAAGAACTTTGGTCAAGAATTTTGGCAGGGTGGCTGGATTAGCCAAATATTTTGCACAGAGTTGTGCCCGGTGATATACTAAACTAAAAAGCCAAATATATTATAAAGAAAAGAGGACCTTCTCCTTTATTAATACAGCAAAAATTCTGTTTTAAACTTGGAAGTAAAACATATTTATTTCTACTAATTAATACTGTGTAACAGTGTTATTTCAGATTATGGCTTACCAGGCAGTCCACCTATGTATAAAGGGCTATTGGTGCTTGCTTCAGTAAATATTCCATTGCCTGAATGTCCATACACAGTAGGAAAATTATCAACTCTAAGATTTAGCACATCATTTTCAAAAAATGCCTTCACACGGTGCCATCTATTGTCACATACAGTGAATCGTGATGGAAATCCCTGCTCAACATGGAATGGACGTTGATTTCCCATGTCACCAGTCATCACCACCTATTTAACAAACCAGTCCCTAAATATTATTTAAAATATGGATGAATTTTTGATTAAAGGGAAAACATTCATTATCAAGACAACAATATTACATTGAGGTGTCAGCATTACTTCAGGAAAGAATGTACTATGTACACTACTAACAAACAAATTAACTGATTTACTAACTAACAAATACCATGGAGCTGAGCCTTTCTTGAGGAGTGCCCACTTGTGCAGCTGCTCAAGAATTTGCTAAAATTTTATGGAACCCGAAGGTTCATTACTATCTTCACAAAAGTCCACCACTTGTCCTATGTCCTAAGCCACATCAATGCAGTCCATGCAACATCATCCTATCTAAGATCCATTTTAATATTATTGTTCACCATGAATCTGTTCCTCCTAACACTACGGTCAGCTCTGACTTTCACTGCGACGTTTTGAGATGCTTGAGGGAAAATGTGCGACGAAAAAGGCCGGAACAATGACGCAACCACAACTGGCTCCTTCATCACAATAATGTGTCCACCCACACATCTTTGAAAATAAGAACAACATGGTTATGGTTTCCTGTCCTCCCTACTTAGCCCCCTGTGATTTCCTTTTGATTCCAAAATTGAAAATGAAACTGAAGGGACGACATTTTGAAAGTGTTGGACATCAAAAGGGAATTGCAGGTGGTACTCGACAGCATTAAGGGAAATGACTTCCACGGTGCCTTTGAAGCATGAAACAAATGATGGGATGCCTGTATACATTCCCAAGGAGACTATTTTGAAGGAGATGACAGCCAAAACTGAGTAAGTTAAGCTAGCATTTCTTTTTTGACCTAGTCCAGGAACTTCCTGATATACCTCGTACTTCCCTCCTAATCGAATCATAGGCTTTCTTGAAGTATATGAATCACTGATATATTATCTCGCGGTACTCCCATTTTTTCTCCAGTATTTGATGAATACAAAAGATCTGATAAGCAATTCATTTGTTATGTTGAAACCAACACTGATGATCCCTAAATACATAATTTCATCTACATATGGACTTAATCTTGAAGGAAGGAGTCACGGGTTCTATCCCTCATGAGGTAATTAGATTAATCAATTGACTTAATGCTTCCAGCTGCATTATGGTCCTGGGGGTAAACAGCTGCCAACATGTAAGACTGACAACCTCACTACCATATGTGAGCGGATTGTCTACAAAATATTGAAGCCTAAATGTCTCACAACCCAGTGGGCCCCCATTACCTGTTACAGGAATAACTTTATGAAGTTGATAGCAGTGATATTCCTAGATAATAACTACAGTCAGTTTTTAATTCTGTACTTAAGTATCCTGTTACCAGCCATATTAAAACATCTATGTATAATACAGTCCATCAATAATGCAACAGATTGTTCCTTTTTCTTCCACTTACACTTTTCACACAACATGTTTTGGCCCTAGATGGCCATCTTCAGGTGTCTTAATATATTAAAAGTGCTACACTGCATTAATATGCACTAAAATCACATGCACAGTTTTAATATATTAAGACACCTGAAGATGGCCATCTAGGGCCAAAACATGTTGTGTTAAAAGTGTAAGTGGAAGAAAAAGTAACAATTTGTTGCATTATTAAGAGGCAGTCAGTTTTATTGCACTTCTTGTAAATTGGTACAATAACAGACTTCTTCCACTGCTCAGTGAATTCTTCTTTACTCCAAATAGAATTAATGAGTTTCTGGATCCCAAACTGTAATATTCGAACTACTGCTTGAATCAGTTCTGCCGGAATTTGTTCACTACCTGGCAATTTATAATTTTTCAACTTTATAACAGCAATTTCAACCCAAAAAGGATTAGGCTCCAGTACCAACAACTCAGTTGTATGTATTTCTATCTGCCTAACATCACTGACCCCACGTAAATTCTTCCACCTATTCAAAATGTTGTGGGAATCTGCAAGCAGATCACCATTCTCATCCTTCACTAAGTTACTGCTAGGCTGGCAACCCCTCTTAAATCCATTTATTCCTCTATGCAGGTCTCCAATATTCTTGCTCTTACTGTTCATTGTATGCTCATTAATTCTGTCTTTCAGACATTCTCTCTTCTTATTCCTAAAATACCTCCTGGCTTCACATCTTATCGTTCAGGTTATCTCCGCTTATTTGGCGGACATAACATCAGACACATATGAAAAAATATATATAGCACATAGAAGTGTGATATTGATATGGTTAAATGTGGGGTGAATACAAACTGAGTGACATAAAATGTTTATTACAGCACATAACTATGAACTCACACCCTCTTTGGAACCATACTGAAGTTCCTTCCTCTGTTTTGTTTGTGGTTCTCCAAGCAGACAGTGAAGCAGTACCCTGTTTTTTGCCAGATGTTCTATAGCATATAACCATGAACTCTTTCAACAGTATTTCTTATCCTTCCCTTTAAACAGTCCACAGTTAGTTACTAGCAGACAAAAATTTCATTCCTAATATACTACATAGAAAAGGGTCACATAAACTTGGTGGAGAGGAAACTGATTCCTCTTGGCTGATCCAACATCAGGCGATGACCCATTAAGGAATGCTGTGCTCTCATTATGGAAATCCTTGTACCTCCAGTGAACACATCAGGGATAGCCTGAATGAAAATTTGTTTTATGCTATGACCTATGACAAACATATTTACTGAAATATGTTGAAGTTTAGGTTTAAGCTCAAGATGCTGGAACAGAAACTAGATGCCATGTTTCAACAGATGGAATGCATTCCCGTTTCTTGAACTTACTTTTCCATCATTGATTTCGAGAGAGAGGGCTGGATACCCAGGAGGTTCTGAAATGCTCAGTAAGACCCCGGTATTCTCTGAGGTGCGGAACTCTAACTGCAGTTCCAACTGTGAACCAACATGGAACTTCTCTTCTGGAATAAGAAAAAGAAATCATTTCTGATAGAAATTTCTGTTTATAAAGTAGGCCATAGGGTAAGGGGAACAGTTATACTATGGTCTATGGACTGCAGGGCAGAGATGTCAAAATTAAACTGACCAACCCACTCAGAACATTTTGGTTAAAGAAACGAAAAAAAAAAATGTTGTACCTTCTGAACATGACAGACATTTTATATATATTTTCAGCATTCTAGCCTGGAAAAACATTTGGACTTTCCAAGAATGGATGCTATTGAAAAGGAAAATGAAACTTGAGTTCGATTTAGTATTCAAAGAGAAAATGTAGCTTAATTTCAAATTTAGTATAAAAAACCATACTAAACTTTAAAAAATGTGGAAATATTTGGATTTGTTGAATCTTTCCAGAAGTTAAATATATCCAATGTCCAAAATGAACACAGGCCATAAAGTAACTGAATAACAACAATGCTCAAAAAAAAAAAAGTAAAGCTATCCCTGTACCAGGCCGTGAAGGCCCATAGGGTTGTGAGACGTTGAGGGTCCCACATTATCTAGACAGTCGGCTCACAGATGGCGGTAAGGTTGTCAGCCAGCCGCGCTTTACTCCCCAAGATAATTATTTATTTAATTCCTGGTACTCATTTCTGTTAGAGGCTGAGTGAACCCCAGGGCCATAGTGCGGCCGGAAGGATTAGGTCAATTGAAAAAACTCCAACGACCTCATCGGTATTTGAACCTGCGACCATCCAACTTGTAGCATAGTGCCTTAACCACTACGCTACTGCATGCCCCAAATAACAACACTCACCAATTAATTTGTGTCAGTAGATCTTGAAACGTATCACTCTTGGAGTCTGGCATACAGTCCAGCCAATATTGTGTCTCTGTCCAAGAGGTTCTTTACATCTCCAGAGTTACGAACACTATTGCATCACTGATCCGAAGGTGTACATCAGGCAGATCATTGACTATGGTCCAATACATGACACTTTTGATGCATTCCCATATTTGTGTGATCAAGGGGGCCGCATAGACTGATCCACATTCCTGTGAACTGCTCAATGAGGAATTCTGCGATAGGTGCCTAAAAATGTAGTGGTGCCCCATCTTGCTGGAAGATGTAACGATCAGGTACCTATGGCACAGCATAGTTCTCTAGCATGTCAATGTAAACAGCATCTGTCACTGTTCTTTCACAGAAGAAGAGTGATCCAGTCACGCCTGTGTTGGTTAATCTGCACCACACATTCAATTTTGGGCTGTCTCTTTCATGTTCCCTCACATCATGAGGATTCTGAGCTCCCCTGATGTGACGATTATGGTGACCAAAGATGTGAAAAGTACCCTCATCACTGAAGCATACCCTACTGCGATAATCAGCGTCACTGTCTATTCAAGAGGCAATGTCGGCAGCAGGCCATAGCGACATGGTAAGTTATTCTGCTGAACTTACTGGCACAACTGCAATTTCTACACCTTTAGTTTTAGCCATTAATGAACCACATCATGGCCTACTGAATGAGCAATTTGGCATTCACAACTTGCTCAAGAATTCTTGAATGGCTCTGACTTGTTCAGGTGTTGTTCTCCATCTACCACCTGTACTGTATTGCTCAACCTCCCATGCTTGTGCGAATTAACAACTGTGTGTCTGTTAGATGCATCACAGTAATATTTATGATGAAACTTGTGCTGAACAATCTGCCAGAAAATAACAGCACTGAACTTTCTCTTGTAATGTGAATGATGCCATCTGCACGTACAGCAGTGTTACCTGCTGTTACAAGCACATTTGGTGAGTTGTGATGCTGCACTTCACTGTAAGTGAATTTATTTACCTCTTTATTGGCAGTAGCATCTGCAACTCCAAAGATGTTAAGACACATCTGCTCATAGATAGAATGCTGGTTCGATGCCTGTTATGTCACAAGGGAGGCACATGTCAAGATCTACTGACATGACAAAATATTTGGTGAGTCCTTACACTTTTCACCTCAAACAGCTTGCCTGTATCATCATTGGGAATGAAATTATTCAGTTTCTTTATATCAGCTGTGTTTATTATGGATACGCTGTATAACTGCTGTTAGTGCCTGTTCTTTGCACTTCCTATATTAGGTAATATCCAGTAAGTCACATCCATTTTCAATAAATACAACATAGTTACTATCTCTTTTCAGTATCATACTAGTGCTTGCTACTCGTAACATGTCAGTTGCACCTTCAAGGAACACTGAATGAATATACTAACACAATAAGAGATCATACGAGTATTTAAAACTTGCAAACAATAACAGATATCCATACAAAGGACCAACTACATACAATAAATGAAACAGCAAACCATCTTTTTTCCATTTAAGCAAAAGTGTCATAACAGATATAAACAGGGCAAAGAAAGGCAGTTCTAAAATATCTGTAAGAGTGTATGCTTGACACTGCAAATCAGAACAAATAGCCAAATAGTTGTTTCACAGTGTGACATGCTTCATGAATAAGTATCACATTAATTTTCCTGATTATGAAGTATCTCAACAATTTTCTGAAGGAAATTATTATTATTCTTGATCAGGCCATCCATCAGGAACAGAAACTGATGAGTGTGTTGAAAACTTGTTCATGCTGATCAAAGAATGACTATCCAACTGATACCAGAATTGGTGATGAATAAAGACTTGTTCGAATTCGTGCATCAACACAACACACTGGCCTGCATTTATGTATTATTGGTGAGGCAATTTCTGCTGCAGAAACAGATCCTTCTGATGGAATACCCTCTCTATTTTTCTATTTTGGCTACATGTGCCTTCTTTCTATTTTTAACTACAAAAACTTTGCTGAAAAAGGCATTTTGGGTTTCTGGAGGATGTCCAGCAGCATATGTCACATGAACTTAGAGCTATATTGGAAGATGTTTTCAAGAAATGCTTCTAAATGTGACAGAAAAGAATAGATCAATGTACAGCTGCCAAAGGCAACTACCTTGAAGGTGCCAATAGCAATTAATGGGTAAAGTGAGTTTTACTTACTTATGAAATAACATTCTAGTCACACCTCTTAATTCTGTCAAATAAAAAATGCTACTTCTTGGTCAGTGCTTCTTCAAGCTCTATTTAAAGTCCTTTTAGAAGGATATGTTCTAACAATTTAGTATGACAGCAGTGTAAATGGTTGGCACAACAAAGTCAACAATATAAAACAGTAGTAAAATATAAGGGAATGAACAGGAGGAACTTGGTGTAGGCCTTTGCAATGCAGTGCTATTTTAGCATATGTCTGGAAAGACTGCAGGAAACCCATGCAAAGGGACTTACCATAAACTGCATAGGCATCACCAGGGAAATAAGAGCCCTGCTCCACAAGAGGGAAGCACTGCCCAACTTTATGACCTGATAAGTTCTGGCTTTGCTGATTTATTGCCAATCCTCGCAGACATCCCTTGAAACTTTCCAGTTTTTGTAGCTGTAGAGTACCACAACTTTTGTTAGAAGAAATACAATACTATTAACACTTTCATCATAAGTCACATCTAGAAAGTCTATGGTAATACTAATGAAAAATCAGAGATGAGTAAATGGATACAGAACTGACCCATGAATTAAAATAGGGCAAGGAAAATATTGAAATATATTATTGTTCATGGATGATCAAATTTCAAGAACATACAATCTGAATATTTCAATAAAGAAGAAAACATTATGGCACTGAAAGGTAAGTTTCTGGTTAGAACTAAAATAATAATTTACAAGAACATGTTTGAGCAGACACTTCATTTTAGTCATGTATGAAGTGACACAGCATATACATCAGATTTAAGTAACAAACTCACTAATTATGACAGAATATTTGGGAGTTTAAAGACTTTTTAAAAAATTTAAAAAATGCTCTGTTTAAATTTTATAAAGCTGTGGAATAACTAACTTTGCAATACTGAAATTAATCTTGGACAACTAAACAACAGTCATACACAGCACCTAATAAGGTGCTCTAACTTGTCTTATTAGGAATGAAGGTGGCCATGCCATAGCTCAGGCGGTTAGTCGCCAGTTTCCCACTGCAGCAGCCCAGGTCAGGTTATATGGGATTTGTGATGGACAAAGTTGCACTGGGGCAGGTTTTCTGAGTACTTCAGTTTTCCCTGCCAATTCACATTCCACTGATTGCCCTACAATCATCATCATCATTTGGGGCTGGTACAATAGACCAAACAGTCAATACAGTACCAAATGGGCTCAGTCTGATGCCATGAGACAAAAAATAGGGTACCAGGAAATAATTAAAAATTCAATAAACACAAAATAAAACAGATGAATAAATAGTGCAATAGATTTTACAATATAAACCTAAATGACAGAGACCAAAGAAGACCATGGAAAGCTGAAAATGAGTATGTGAAGTTGGAACAAACTTCATTGCTTATACCATGAAGTGAGCAAGAAGAAAAGATGTTTCATGTGCTCCAGCCAGACCAAACCACTGTGATTGGTTCAACAACTTTGATGACTGCTGCACCTGTTTACTGTCTAAAATGAAAATGCTGTCACTTCTTGATATGACTGGTTGTGTCCATCATTTTATAATCATGTCTGCATTAGACAGAGGCATAACATTGCAAAATCAAAGTAAATGAACCATGCAGAACGTTTGGCAACTATTTTCAGTATTGAGGGTTCAAGAAAAACATACTGTGATGGGTTGTTCAAAGCATTAAGATATAGAACCAGAAAACCCAATGTAATGCAGTCACCAACAGAACTTTGGTTACTTACTATCAAAGGTCTTAATAATCACAACAGAGGAACTACTGAAGATGTCGATTCCTAGGCAACATATACAGAAACAGGTTTCTGCTACAACAGCTAGGTAAACATTGTTCTCACAGCAACAGAAAGTACATTTTCATGACAACAGAGAAATCAACTATTCAACACAGAGTCCTCTATTAGGTACATCAAGAGCTACCTCAAGAGGATTACTAGAAGCTTACTAGAGATTACTGGAGATCAGAAGACTAACGGAAGTCAGAAGAAATCAGAAGTGAAGTCTTTATTTTACGTGGTGCACTTACAGTAACCTTTAGAGTGTTATCATTGTTAGCAGTTATGAAGTGTTATAGTTACGCTAAGATTGTGTTATAACTAATTGTAATCCCACCTGGTGAATATCCAATAAATCAATTCGTCTAATCTGGAACCCTTTAATTACTTGTCACATTACCAGGATACAGGACAATATCATTATGTCAAATACAGGAAAGAAATGTTAAAAATACATTTTACTACAAGACAGTCATGCCTATGCCAATGAAATCAAACTTACCAATAATTCTGGTAGAAGCACCTCACTTTCTGGAACTCCACCCACATACATGGTATTACCAATGTTGAGTTTCTTGGGGTATCGTTTGCGTCGCTTAGGTTTATTAGAGTCAACAATCATAATGATCCTGTTTCCTTCACGACTCAACACCACGTGATGCCATAAACCATCATTTAATTCCTCAGTGTCTTCTATATCCAGTTTAGGCACTCCTTTAACTATTAGCAGTTGGAGACGCTTATTTCGGAGTTGCAGTAGTATATAATGCAGTTTCTTTCCTTTTCCTCCCTACAAAATAATCAAAATGCTTCTGGTTTACACACAGCCAAACACAAGCATATAGTGGCAAGAGAAAGAACTTCAGAAGCCATTAATTTTCTTGAGTAAACCTGAATATCATTTATTACTTACTTGCAATCATAAACTGAGTAAAACATTGTATTTAACATTACTCTTTCTAGAATGTCTTCTGGAACATAGTTCTGGGGAATTTTGACAGTGAAACAGCTTCATATATATTAATTTCCACAATGTACAGTTCCAAACTAGACTGAAGTTGTATGTTGCTGAGTGACAGAATTGGAGACCCTTTTCTTACCAAAATCAGATAACATCTGATTTGAAAAGTAGTGATGTGGAAGTCATGACAAATAAAGATGGATGAAGTACAAGCAGTAATATATGACTTGAACTTGATAATAAAAGTAAACATTTATGGGACAGAATACTCCAAATTCTATAAATTATGAAGTGCTCTACATAAAGATTTGAGTGCCCCACTTTTCCAAATCAACACGTTACTGTACTTTCATCCTTTGAAGAGTTTTATACCTAATATGGCATCTATTCACTTGTCTTTCCACAAAAGGGGTAATATTTGAGGATCTCTTTTTCAATTCTACTTTTGGGAGGAACAGCAACACTAGAAATTCTGTTTGGCACTTTAAAGAGACCAGTGGAGCTTACAGTGAGATTACATTTCTAGTACAGCAAGACTGTGATCTACTCACTGGTAGTAAGAGGAGAAGACCATTTGGGTAAAGTGTCCGAAAATCCAGCTCCACCGTGAAATCTCCAGCCTGAAGCACACTTTTACGCTGACGAATCTGTACATGGCTGTGAGGAGAATCTCCAAATTTTGCAGCTCCAGGTTCCAAGGAATAGCTTGGTCCCTTATGGCACCCTTCTGGAAGACCATTTCGTCCTTCCCCTCTTTTAGGTGGAAGCAGGATTGAAGGAGATGGACTGCCTGGGGGGTAGCTTTCCAGAACACTGATAGTATCAAGTCGTCCAATTCCCACATGTTCAAATGATATAGGATGGTCAAGCTGGAGCAATCTATGCAAGCAAACCAGATACTGCAAAATTAAATGCCATCCGCACAGATACATTAATAGAAATTGAAAATGTTAAGATTATATAAAATATTTTAATACTAGAGAAATCCGAATAAAATGAAGGCCACATTCCAAACTTAATTTTTGTTCTAGTCCTGAGGTTTTTGTGGCTGGAGTTCATGTGTGGCCCAGCTTTTATGAATATTGCATGCATAATGTCGGTTTCAGCAAAGCCACCGCTGAACTCCCTTTCCTAGCCCTGTGGCAAGAATATCTTCCAGACCTCTTGTCCCAAGCATGGGGACACTGAAACATTTTTATCACCTCTTCTTGGGACCACCTTGTTGGCAAAACATTTTCATTGCCTCTTTTAATTAACTATATGGTTACAGAAATGTTTTTCATCACCTCTTATCACATTATCACATGAACTCGAAAACATTTTTTTTCTTGGCCCCTTTTCAATAATCATTTAGTTGCTCCCTATTGGTTAGCATCATACTTTTCTGTTCATACAGTTATAGTTTCACCTCCAACATACTGCTTAATGAGACAGTAATATAAGAGCTGCATCCTCCCCCCCTGCAATTATTACTACTGGTGACTGAAACTGAGGTCTATTAGAAAACCTTCAACACTCTACAATCCCAAAAAACTTAAGCCTCAAATTAATTTTGTTTTATACAAATTTTCAGTTGCAACTAAATAAAACTCCTTATTTTTACATCCACTCTCAACATTTTGGAGATTGTCTCCATTTCCTTCGTGAAGAGTTGATTGGATGAGTGTTGTAGCCACATTTTGTATTTATACACATACATGCAGAATATGCTGTCAGCTGTCACAGCATGTACTATTCAGGGATCAGTGGGTTGCATCAGGTGGTCAGCCATCAATCCAGGTTGCTTGTTATTAGTCCTTAGTTACTACTGTGGCACACAGACCTGTTGCTATGAAAGACTGCGAAACAAACGAGACACCAGCCAGCCAGTGCACCAATGGACTGGCTGAGTAGTGATCATGTGGGAACCCCAACAGTCTAGGTGCAACAATGGAGGAACTGTTGGAAATTATGTTTTCTATACAGTCCATGCTGAGCTTCAGTCAGTTGTGAGTCAGTCTGTGAAGTGAAGGTTAGGAGGTTACATGAGATGGCCACCAGCTCTGCAGTTAGTTAGTGAGCCTCTGAAGGGAAGGCATAGAATATTGTGTGTGCTGTAGTTATGGTGATCTGTAGTGTGTGTAAACCAGTGAGGCTGTTTAGTTATGTGTAGTCACGAGTTGTGTTTTACAGTGATCAATAAATCCAATTACCAAACCAAACCAAACCCTGTGTATAGTCATAATATTATGCTTGAGACTCCTCATTCATGGCGCAGATGTACCAATAGATGATCTAACCACTGGAATTTTAGTTCTACCTTTTATGCACACTTCTACCAAAATCAGAACTGTATTATGTTCTCCGTAAGCTTTATAAAATGGAAAATAATAGTTTCATTTAATAGATTAAGCATAAAGGATACCCTGAAACCATAAATCTATACAGTGCATGCCTCAACCAATATTACCATAAAAGCTGCAGTGAAAGGAATACTGTACTCACTGGTCATTGAATATTACATCTTTCACAGTTCCAACAAGTGGAACTGATGATGTTATCATGCCAATGTTGGTAAAATTGGATGGAACTCCTCCAAAATAAAGTCCACCTGATGGACCCGGTGCATGTACAACAGTGGCTCCCTTTGGTAGAGCAGCAGAGTCCTCAAGTTCATCATCTACCCTCAGTTCAAGTCGCCGACCCAGTTTTGTCACCGAGAGTGAATGGAACTTCCCATCATTAAACTGCTTCTGTGGAGACATAAGAACTTCACCACGTCCAGCATCTACCTGCACATTAAGCCTTCCATCTACCAGAGAAACTGAGTAGAAGCTTTGGCCTCGTTCTCCATCCCTGGACAAAGGTATGACATACATCTATGAAAAGTACTGCATGTGCAAAGATGGCACAAGCAGAAAAATTGTAAAACAGTTTTCTTTTTCACTACAAGGTTTAATACTACAGGTTTAAGTCATATTTAAACACACACAAAGGCATTTTATTTATATAATAAATATTGAAATACATTACCACATGCAAACACAACTTATTACTGTAACAAACAGCCTGACACTACAAAAGTGTACGATAACACTAGTGTATATCAGATTCATGTCTCTTGCAAGACTAGCAAAGTCATAAGTTGTCACTTCTTACATCAGTAAAATTATGAAATCCAATTAAGTCTTTTAGGATCATTATCTTGCACAGGAATGTCACACGAAGAAAATTTTGCTTCATTACAAGCACTTTATGCAAATAAATAATTTATGTGAAAACGTTTTTTATTTACTTACTAATTACCAGAGAGGTAAAGCACTAGGGCATTAATACATATGTTGGAGTGCATTTATAGATCAACCTATTCTTGACTTTGGCATTAGTTGGAGGCAAGTGGTCAACTTCATGCCCTGACTGCTTTACCCCCGGGAACACAACCCCCATTACCCACTGAATAGGAAGCTGGGTGGGCCCCAGAGCTAGTCTGGACAATGTAGAGAAGAGAAACACCTTGCACCTGCCAGGAATTAGATCCTGGCCATCCAGTCCACAGCCTGCCACTACACCAACTGAGCTATCCCAACTCATATACGAGGGACAGTCAGTAAATAGGTCACAGATGGAAATAAAACAGCTGTAATGGAAACATTAGGTTTCCTATGTGTATTACTAGGTAACAGCACAGTCATGACAGTCTAGGTGGGAGACATGCATGTGCATGTTCAGAGGCTGATTTCAATAGTCAAAATGGCAACCGTGTTTGAAAAGTATACTACCGAAGAGCAGCATCCTGTTGTGTTTCTTGTGGGCAAAAGGAATCAATATAAAGCATATTCATAAATAAATTTTTCCATCTACAGTGTGAAGTTTTTGTGGCATAAAGTGGTTCGGATGTATGTATAGAAATTCTCTCTAGGATATTCAAAAGTTGCAGATGATACCCAACCAAGTCACCCTATTGAGATTGTGACAGAAGCAACCAAAAAGTTTCAGGTTATGAGCATACCATCGGGTTGGGAAGGTTATGCTTACTTTGTTTTGGGGTTCTCAGGAAGTACTGTTAGCCCGTTTTCAGAAGCATGGCAAAAATGTGAATTCCGCATCCTACTGTGACATTCTGCTAAAGTTTCGGGAGGCAATTCGTAGAAAATGTCCAGGCCAACTGGCAAGAGGGGTACTGCTTTATCATGACAATGCCAGACCCCATACAGCCCAGACTTAGCTCTTAGTGACTTCCATCTCTTTGGTCCACTAAAAACCATCTTGGTGGCAAACATTTCATCAATGATGATGAGCTTGAAACGGAGGAACAGAAGTGGCTAAGACAACAGTCAGAAGACTTCTATGCTGTGGGTTTTGATGCACTGGTAAAGTGATGGAACAAGTGTATTAATCTTGGTGGAGGATATGTCGAGAAATGAATGTTTTCTCCAGGTTTGAGTATCACATGCTTTATGTCTTGTATCCATTTTTAACCTATTACTGACTCTCTCACGTACTTACCAGAACTCAATTATAACTAAAACCGTATTTAAATTTTCCTATAAAGTGACAGATTATATCATCCAACTTTAATTAACAGCATACATTGTTTACAAATTCAAGTAATGATTTTCAGACTCAAGTTTCATGTGTATTATGTACAGTAGTTATTAAATTACATGTATGAAGATGGTGAGACAGATACTGTGAAGCACTGTTATATAACATGTTTAGGAATGTAACTCCATATGAAACATTTAAATAAAATTAAGTTACCTTCTCTTGAATCATTTGTAACATTTATCTCTGAGAAAGGAATCAGTTCCTTATATACTAGAGATAACTCTATCATACTCACCCAAATGCTGTTAACATGAGCAGAGCATTAGGTTGTAATGTCCTGAAAACAAATCCAAATGATGCATTACGTCGGTCAAGAGAATGTGATGGCAACTGCAAGTGACCTCTCCCATCAAAACTTGCTTTGTCTAGTGCAGAATCAGCACAGCCTGCTTCAACACCATAGAACTGTCCACGCAGAGGACTGTAACCATCTTGCACCACCTGGATTTCTGCCAGGCAGCCAAGAAATGAGCCTGGTAGGTCCAGTTTGTTCATGCCTGCCCCAAATGAGCCCGGGGGAACTCCTCCAACAAAATACAAAGCATTGGACAGATCAGGCAATGCTTCCTGACCAGGGGGAGATGTAGGGGCCCCATCTCGAGCCTCACCTTCTACCTTCAGCACACCTGTGTGGCACAATAAAGAGGAGAATGAAGGTCTGGCATATTAGGCTTCAGATGATGGTGATCTAATAGTGCCAATATCATTAGAGCAAGGAAAATTTAAATCATGACCAGATAACACTTATTTAGGATTACAGTGTTGTAGGATGTGGCACTGTGTAGTTTAGTAGATGGTAAGAGTTTGAGAAGAATGTGCTTCGTCAATCTTCAGGGTGCATCCCGCATTATGTCCTAGAAGACCATAATCTTGATACTCACTGGTATAATTTGATGATGCAGTATTTGCTTTCAAAACTTTTGATCAATTATTGCAATAGTTAATATTTCAAGAGTTGTAACTAACATACTAAATAAAAAAGATAAAGCAAAGATAACAGAGGCACACAAACCTGTAATAACCAGAAAGTAAGGGAGAGGGGTTGCAGACTTCCATTCCCTCAATAGTAAGAAGAATAAGTATGTTTAAGACTGAGTAAATATAATACATTTTGTTTTCAAATATTCCCAGAGGTGAAAATATGAACTTAAATCCTGTTACAATGAGTTCATAACCTCTAACTAATAAACCTGTCATCTAAGGATCTGTTTCTATAGTCTTTTACAAGTCTAAATGTGTTACTGGGTTCAGTTACTACTCACAGTGCCCACCTAAGGATATTACAAAACTTCCTGAAGATGAATACATTAAACAACACTTCACAAAGAAATGTGCATTGTGATTTTACATCTATATACCCAGTAGTGCTACAGAACAGGATGCCATGCTCTCCATGTCATAACTCGGGGCTGATACAGGTCTATTTTAATCAGTTTTATATTGTGTTATATAAAATATTTTCTAGTTTTATTTCTATACAGGCATAAAGTCACAGACGCTGATGTGCCTCTAAACCCACACATAAACACTGATTGGAGGACCTCATTAAAACAAAACTCTACTGAACAAAAACATTTCTCACAATATGATAATGATTTATCCATAAACCTTTCTCAAGCTTCTTTCTGCGATCAAATAAGCGGCTTGCTTCAACCACAGTCCAATTGCCTGTATTATGCCTTTCCTGTGATGCCATCTCCAGTTGAGTTTCTCCACCATATCCCACTCGGAAGAGTACTCGACCGTCACGCAGAGTTAGTGACACATACCTGTCCTAAAACATGATATTAAGAAGAGAAAATCACAGAAGAATAATATATTTTGTGATACATTGCAATATGAGAGAGTTTATATAAATAGCAATATCTTCTTATAATCAGTTTCTCTAAAATCTTCCAAAGATAAAAACTACACTAAGAACCATGTGTTAGTCAGTACATATGCGACAGACATTTTGAAAATTATGTCTTTTTATCCACATGTGTCAATAACATACTGGAGCACAGTTGCATAGATTCTACTAGGCCCTTAAGTAATAAAGATAAGGCAGCTGATTTGAAAGAAAGAACTTATGATAGCTACTTTCTTCCAAATACCTTGATATATAAAGTGAGATTCAAACCTGTCACACCAGCTAAAGTAATACAATCCTCTTGGGCCACCAGCCATGTCAGTTGATTACAATTTAGGTTAATAGGCAGAGAGATGGCCACTAAAAGAACAGCCATTTTTAATCACCTGACATGGCTCACAACTTGAGGCTACAAAGAAATATAAATTATTATTTATACAATTTTGTTTCTCATACTTCTGCACAATTTTACTAATAGAGCTTCTATGCTCATTCTGCTGAATTTAACATTCAAGCCTGGCTATATCACCATGTTCATGGTATCTCCATACAAAATTTCAATGCCTGTGCCAAGAGTTCATTAATATTTTTGAACCAAAAGGTAAACATAAATTTCAAGTCGCTGCCGTGTTTTCTTGTTACATTTTACCTTAAAAAAAAAAGCTGCATATTTTCCAAGCTCCAGTGGTACATAAAATCTCAAGATCTTACATTAAGTGATACTAATGTTGCTTCCACATGGCTGCTGTGTGAACATCAGTGATTCCAAGAAATTAAAAAATACAAATGCAGAAGGTGGGTGAGGGGAGGCTCTTAGTGGTAGTATGTTCATATTATGCTTCACAAACATCCACTGATTTTTTCAAAAGTTATGGTGGGAGGGGGGGACAGATAGAGATATGCAGATGATTGTGACAAACCTATCTCTTTGGATTCTTTTACATTCATTACTTTCATTGCTGCACAGGTATACTTGCCTCTAAAAACTTTGAAAACAATTTACTACTCTTATTTTGGCTCTGTTATGAACTATGGTCTTTGCTTTTGGGGAGTCTCGCCTCATAGTATAAAAGTATTTAGAATGCAGAAGAAGATAATTAGAATTATGATCGGCTGTAATAGTAGAGTTTCATGTAGAGATCTCTTTCGGAAATTGGAAATTTTGCCTTTGGCTTCACAGTATATTTTTTCACTCATGCTCTTTGTGGTTAATAATAAAAGTCTCTTTATTCCAAATTCACTAAATCATAATATAAATACAAGACATATTACAAATTTCTATCAACCCATAGCAAATTTTACGGTATATCAAAAGGGAGTGTATTATATGGGCATAAAAATTTATAATAATCTTCCTTCTTATATAAAAGAAGAGTCACTCAACCCTAAGAAGTTCAAAATTTGTTTAAAGCGTTTTCTTTATCTTCATCATTTTTATTCTGTGGAAGAATATTTCCAATATAAGTCATTATAAGTTAATGATTATGCATTCACTAGAATCACCTGTTGATCATCCAGTCTTTTATTAGTATTATTCTAGTCATTATTCTATTATTCTAGTCTAGTCATTTAAGCAATTTCTGTGATATGTTCAAACTGACATTGTTTAAATTTAAACTGCATGTTTTATTAAATTAACTTATATGACTGGAATCTACTTGATCCTACATGTTTTGTTTCAATTTTTGTATTTTATACTTTTTTATTTATGTACTTAGCTCTTGCTCTATTAATTTTAAGAATAATCACTGTATGGACATGTCCTATATCTCACTTGTATTGTGGATCCATGGAACGAAAAATAAATGAATGAATGAAAGTATACCTCAGTACAAGCAATATGCTCCAGTTAGGTTAGTGAATATTCACCAAATTAAAATACATTTCTCTTTAAGTGTGAAAGACCAAGTTTCACTGCCATATGACTTTCTGAATGACAATAAGCTGATAAAAAATTCATAAATGAAGAGTAGAATGCATTTCCAGAGTTTCTTCTGCTCTTAGTTTCATTATGATTATCACTTTATCTGTTGCTATTCCAAGTATTTGAAATCATTACATTTTTGGAGGCTCTGTTGGTACTTCCTGCATAATTATGATTTTGTCCTGCATGTGCCTACATATATGCCAGCAAAAGTGACTATTATTCATCAAAATTCTATACAGTAAAATAACTGAACTGATTATTTACTAGAATAGTCATATCAAAATATGTTACCAGTGACCAATTTTCTACTTTTTACTACCAAGCTCCACATATTGACCACTTTAGAAATGAAACAAAGTGGACACATGTTGATTTTGCACTGTGGAAAGCGATTATGACTACCTTGCAACCAGGCAAAAGATGGAGAGAAACAAATACAGAAACAGACAGTACAGTATCAAAAGGACTTCATGCACAAGATATATAATAATTTAGAATTGTTTATCTGTCTGTTAATCTTGAATTCTAATGCACTTCCACTCCATAAGAACTTAACACATTCAGGACCGGAGGGGCCAATTGGCCCTCTACGTTTCTATAGCGTTGCAGACCGGGTGGGCCAATTGGCCCTTTTCTGACGCGCTATGTTGCAACCAACTATATCTTGCTGTGTGGCTACTGCGTAGCTGACCTCGGGAATGTTTGCTAGCTTAGCCAGTAACATGATCATGCTCATTTCCTGTCACACCCAAAAGAAAAAAGCCTTTGTTCAAGTCCAAGCTTCCACGTATGAGCCAGAAAGTTAGCAGTGCAACATGGATCAGAGATGAAAGCAGTTGCAGGCAAAGCGTTCTCTCAGAGAACAAGAAATATTAGATTTGTTCTCCAATGAGCTATCAGATTTGCCAACTGCTTCAGCTTCCTATAGCGAGGCCAGCCTCAGTGAAAGTGACAGTGACAGGGGCCACAGGGCCCGCCAAAATATTGTGATGTGATGCCTCTTCACAAAGGGGAATATTTCCAAAGATATCACACGCTCAAGCACTTCTAGGAGCTCTGGTAAGTGTTCTCCAAAAATTTTAGTTCATAAAATTAATTAGGAGATTTTATATTAATTTTTAAAGTGAACAGTGCACAAGTTAGGGTGCTAGGCTTAAAAACCTCGGTCCCCAGGGTGATTTAAATATTTAAACAACCGGTCCACAATGTGTTAAGAGACATGAAAGTTACAAAGAGGAAATTTATTTAATTTACCATCATACAGAAGGGGAGTATCAATACTATAAGCCCAGCAATTTTCAAAACAACTGCTTTATGAGGAAAAGTGTAAGTTGTTTGAGAAACATGAACTTACGGTGACATTTGGATTCACAGCAAGAAAGAGTAGGGAATTTTCATCCAAAGTTCGGAATTTCAGAGAGACACTGAAGGCATATTTGTTGTAAGGGCCAGAGCTGGGACGATGCAGTACTGCATAACCTTCACCACTGAATCGGAATGTTAACTCATCTCTTGTCTGTTCTCCACTGCAACATGAAATAACAGATGTTCAAACTTCAGAATGTTTAAAAAACTCAAGGGGTACATTGGCTAGAATACTTGTCAGAACATGGGCCCATGTGGAACATGAACACATAAACTACAAAGACCTCAAGCATGAAACAAAATTACACAGATTAAACACATTTAAAAGAAATTCTGTTTTCCATAAATATGACTGGAAATTCTGATTTAATGTTTAAATTTGAAATCTGTCACATTATAATGCACAGTAACAGGGTCATCATATATGAAGATCACAAAAATGCATATTGCAATTCAGCAAGTAGTCTGGGAATAATCAGCGGTTGTGGTACCATGAGAAACCACCCCACTAAATACACAAGGTGTTATTGGAAAGTTCCTGGACTAGGCCAAAAAAGAAACGTTGGCTTAACCTGCTCAATTTTCTTGCCACCTACTTCAAAATAGTCTCCTTCCGAACATTTACAGTGATCACATCGTTTTTTATATATTTCAAAATCACAGATGGGAAATGTATTAAATAAACAGATATGGAATTATATCCAGTACTGTATCCATTGTATTGTAAAAGTCAGTAAGAGCTACAAAAGCATTGTAAGGTGCTGACCTCTGTATGCATGCAGCACATCCAGCAGCACTCTGGGAAGCAAAGTTCCACAATCCAATTGCATGTCCATCTAAGACCACTCTATGCAAGCATCCTGCAAGCCCCGTATTTCTTGTCTTCAGGAATGGTGGCCCAGGTGCTGATGCCAGATGTAATCCTCCCACCCACAATACATCTCCAGGTCCCACATCTAATCTGCCAAAACCTGAAGTGGAAGAATTTGTCACTGGAGTACCACTTTCAAGAGCAGAGCCCTCTGGTAGGACATGTGGTCTCACTGAAAGTTTTGCTATGTTGCTTCTCCTGCAAATAAATATAATTTAATCAACTTTGACTTTTAGGTCAAGCACCCACATTACTTCAGCCAAAGAGGTTATGCAGTATCAAATGTTAAGAGAGGATCTGTACAAATTATGAGTAAAAATGGATCTGGAAAGGATTCTAAGTTCACATCCACTGCTTGCATTTTTTATTTAATTACACTTTGTAAAAGTCCAAATTATGCATTATGCATTTGTGCCATTTTAAAAAATGCTTTATACATTGTTGTTTTGCCACGTTTTGAGATCAGAATACAAATACCACCATATTACATTACTTTCACTAATTCTATAACATAAAACTTTATTTAAAAAGTGAAACATCTAGTATGTAACACTAAAATCACAAAGACTAATACACATTAAGATTTTGCTATTTAGCATAAATCACATAGCAAGACATCAGAATGCCAAAGCATGAATGGGTTAAATTCCAGCTGTGAGCACAGTGACTGCAAATGTCATGTTTTTAGCGCTACATTATGTTTTGAAGGTATACATGGGTGGAATAAATTGTTCACTAGCCAAGAGAGTCTGTTATCAAAGACAAATGACTGAGAAGAACAGCAAACTTCATATGGCATTTTCTTTCCTTTGGTTTAAGAAAATGTCTAGGTGTTCAAGATCCAGAGAAGTGGACTAATGTACCACTGCCAGGTAACACACCTGTCTATCTGAATATTATACCAATTTCTTTCCTCAGCTGACTTTCCAGGCTCAAGCTTAAGGGGGTGCTCCACTTCTCCTGCACCACCGCCAACATCCCATACAAAGCGAATGTGCTGAGCCACTATTTCGACTGCAATAAAATCCTCCTGCAAGGACCAGAATAGATGTTTCAGGAAGTAATAAAAATGGTTTATTATGCCTACTTTCACTCCACTATGTCATATGGAACAATATTCTGTGGAAACTCTACAGACAGCACTAAAATCTTCAAAATGCGAAAGAGGGCAATTAGAATTATCACAGGAAACAAGAATAGAGATCCTTGCATAGATTTATTTAAAAACTTTAACATCTTACTGTTTCACTCACAATACATACTTCCATTCCTATTATTTGTGGTAGACAACAAAAGCATGTCATATTTAATACTTACAGTGGTACTGCTGGGTAGATACAGGATTAATGAATCATTCTGCTTGGCTCCACTCTCCAGTGCATAGTCCAAGACAAGTGATGTTGTAGTGCTGGGCTCTAGACTGCTTGGACGGAATGATCGTACACAGCCTTCACTCATATTTGCACGACTTGATATAGATAAATGTATCTGCAACAGAAATTATGAACACATTTTCATCAAAATTACACCAGAAGAGTGCTAATATGATTGTATTGTACATACATTAAGTTCCAACTATCACACAAAATACATTGCAATTTCAGCTGTCAGAACTTCTGTACATCAAATGTCCCTGTCTCAGCATACCATTTATTTTAAAGGGATGCAATAAACATTTTGCAATTTAAGGTATTCTCCTCATTTAACATTCAATAATCTCCGTATTACATCACCTCCATTTAAGGCAGACCTCAATTTAGTGTACAGATCCACTGCCCCCTAAACAAACCTCATATGTAGGTTTGACTGTATACAGGAATCTACCAACTTATACAATTTCATTTTACATGAATTTAACTTCAACACAATTTCATGTTAAACTTTTTAATTATAATTTTTTAACAAAGACTAAAGAATAATGGTTCATAAATGGCTAAATTAATGGTATTACATTTACTACATAGGAAATCAAGTTACAATTTGTTCAATGTAAATTAAAGGCAGCAAACCCACACATGTTCTACAGACTCATTTAAGAGAAAAAATTACTGTGCAAGTTCGCAGATACCAATATATACGCTGATCAAACAAACTTACAGATTGTTCCATTTCTCTCAAGTTTTTATTAAAATAAATTATACTGAGACAATGACATTTCTAATATGACAATCTTATGAAATATACTGTAGTGTGTCAAGTCATCGTTACACAGCGACCGCAAGATGGGCAGACATACTGGGACTGCTGCTGGACAGTGGCTCGGTAAACACGTTCCTGCAGCAACAGATATGAATGCCACAATAGTAGAGCTGTGTTTTCTATGTGGTAAATGCTGCTATGTTATAAGTAAGGGATAAGGTTAGACCAAGTTCAATTCTGTATGGGAGGCTGTGAAGAAAAGAGTTCGTTGCAAGAGTACTCAGTTGTAAGTCTGGCTGTGAGGAGAAGACTTTATGTGTGATATCTGGAGTGTGTAATTCAATGAGACTGTTGCAGTTCCTGTGTTAAAATCTGTTGCCAGGAAATGGATAGTGGAGACTACACACACTAGTGTGTGTAGAAGTGAACTGTGAAGTGTGGAAATAATGACAGTCCTATAGTTATTTGTAATACAGCCTGTAAGAGGTCAATAAATTTAATCACTAATGCAAACCCCATCTATAGCCACACATACTACATGACAATATTAACCAGAAGAGTTAATGAGTGCCCCTGTTCTTCAGCCAGAACAGAATTCTAAATCTTATTTCATGTTCAAATTTTTCATATCACAAGTGCATGTGTGCCTGTATGTGTCCATTAAATGTCTTTCACATAATGAAGGGACAATTACCTTTAATATTATAAAGATGAAGGACTTACTTACTGTAATTCAATTGCTGTTGTTTACTAACTTCTTATTCATGTTTAGAATGTTGTCATTGTTTCACGAGGGACTTTGTTAAAATTTTACATAATTCTACAGTAATTCTGTAACAATAAATTACTTTTATTACTATTTACAAAAACAGTCAGAAAAGCAGGTCCAGTACATACCCCATTGGCAGCATGCCGCGCTTGAGTAATTTTATTGCGCAGTTCCTGTAAGCGTGCTGCCATCGTATCATTCCACTGCTGAAATTTACGTTTCCTTTCAACAGCATCTTCTGATAGTCTAGACAAAAGGACTTCTGCCTGTTGAATGTTTTCCTGTGATGCTGTTACTGCAACAATTATATTAATATCATCCATTTATAGTTCTGAGTTTTGTGTTTTCGAATAGGTTTAATGGTGAACCACAAAGAACTAAAAAACAAATGTAGTACTATGAGTACACATATTTTCCTACTAGTGGGAACTAAGTGCCCTCCATACCAAATATCTCAAAGCCTAAGCTCTGACCAGATCCAGAGGATATTTCTCTACTTGCATTCCAAACCCTCACATCTGATGCAATAACTTTTATAACTGGTCCCAGAATGGTTCATGGCCAACTTAACCTGCAGATCGACTCATCAGCACTGTTCAATTGTGACCTAATATACATCTTGAAAGGGAGATTTGGTGGTCTTGCAGTAAGATACTAAAACCTCACGCAGAAGTCCCCAGGTTTGATCACAAGTCAGACCTGTCTGCAGATTCTTCCACAAGTAGACTGAAACATCCACATTTACAAAATATGAAAGATGTTTGGGAATGTGATGAACAACTGTCCACTGGGACAACAGAATCCATCCTACATGTGTCCCCAACTATGAAACAGATTCTGTGCTCTTTTATAGGTGGGCAGAGGTCAGAAATATCCTGCCATAAACATACACCAACATTTTAAACAAATCCAGATCATTTTACCAAAGTATATATATAAAATAATTTCATAACAGTGGCCCCTATTTATCCTCCAAAATGGATCAACAATCTTCTAATAAAGAGAGAGTAAGAAACTTACTGTGATTTATAACAGCATTCACTTGGAAATCTGAGCTCAGCTGCTTTAAGCGAGGGCGCAGCTCATTCTTCACATTGCTTCTGACCATGTCAGCTTTCATCTGAACTTCATCCATAGAATCACTAATTTTCTTGGCCTTTTGAAGCACATCCTGTATTGTTAACAGCGCTGCAATTGTTAATAAGTGACTGATAGTAAAGTACATAACTTTCATGTCTACTGTTATTCAGTAATTTTCCAGTTATATTACTTCCCTTGCCTACTTCAAAATAATATGGTTGTTAGAACACCAGCAGAACTTAACTGGCACTATCCTAGAGAGATTGGGAATTTAAATAATATGGTTGTTAGAACACCAGCAGAACTTAACTGGCACTATCCTAGAGAGACTGAGAATTTAAATAATACTTGCCAGAAATTATTACCCAACAGGGTGACAGCTAGGATCATAAAAACTGAACTTCATATACAAGATGTGTCCAAAAGAGAAATAATATCTCAGATAAATCATATGGTACACAGATGCGGGTGCAACGCACATGTCCTGATATGTTACTGTAAGTCTAGGCACATCTGCAGCTCATGCCATTGTTCCAGTTGTACAATGTCAACTTAACATTCAGCATTTTTTTGTAACTTGCCAATTTAATGGCAACATATCTGTATCACATTTTGTGATGAGACTGGAAAACCAGTGATCAAACTTAGCAATTACATATAATGTGAGACAAAAGTATTCTACTACAAGACAGACATGGCTAGCCTTACCCTCTCTGTTATCCAGTTTCTGCAACTGATGAGAAATAACATTATCAGCTTTTGCAGTTTCAGTTAGTATGTCTCTGACATTCTTCATTTCCTCTTTATGTTTCTCCAAACTCAACTTCAACTCTCCTACATGGCTGGCTTTCTGTTTTCCACGACTCAATAATCTTGTCGAGTCTGCCAATATGATGCTTGCCTGATCTACCAGTGAGTCCTGCTCTGCACTGGGATGTGCCTGGAAACAGATATGAACAGGATTACAGGAACAGACTCACTAGCATGGAACAGATAAGTAAAAACTGTGAGGCTAGAAAGAAATACAGTCAGCCCTAAATTACCCAGGGCAATGGTCTGGAGATATTTAAGGGATAATTTTTTTATTGCTAGTGGGGTGGGACTAAGTCCCTTGTACTGCGGCCACTTCTGGCCTATTGTACCAGCCCCAGATGATAGGTGAGGGTGATTGTGGAGCAATTGGAGGAATGAAGATTGGCAGGGGAAACTGAAGTACTTGGAGAAAATGTGCCCCAGCACCACTTTGTCCATCACAAATCACACTTGACCAGACCCGGGATCAAACCCGGGCCGCCACAGTGGGAAGCCAGTGACTAACCTCTTAAGCTATGGCGTAGTCAGCCCTACATGCAACAATATACATCATTCTCAAGTGTCTGTCCATCCATAACAGTTCATGTTCCCTTGAAACCACTTCAGAGAAAAGCCAACAGAGGCAGTTGTGAACCAACAGTGTGAGAGAATATCCTAGTACTGATCTGATGCTGGTTACATGGAATCACAAACAGATAAGAGGACTGTAGTAGACTACATGAAAAGCCAAAACAATTATTTCTATTTCATTATTAACATTTGGCTGAATTTGTCTATTGCATCTGCTATTTATTAATATTAAGGGCAATAAATTCATGCACTATATAGTTGTATAATATATATGTGCAGCTAATAAGATCTAAAAGTTTGTGATAATGGTACATTGATACAAGAATTACGTTTTTGGACATTATCCATCGACCTATTTTCTAAAAAAACATCCTGTTTATTTTTCAAAAGTAGGTTTTACCTGAGGACAGGGACAAAAACATAATACTTATACTGATATATTGGGTTTTTGGACTTTATCCATCATCCTGGTTTTTAAGATAACTAATAAAACGTCGTGTTTTTATTAGTTATCTTGAAAACCAGAACGATGGATAAAGTCCAAAAGCCCAATATATCAGTGTGTTATACACCATCGTCAGAATCCTATAGTAACTAATAATACTTATATATGTACAGTGTTTACTGTATTATCCTATCAAAATTCTCACCCATTCCCTCCAACCCAACACCACCTATTGAGAGACCACCCCTATAAAAGACAACTTATGGACACAACAGTCAGTGGTCTTCTCTAAGAAGTGTAAATGTATCTAAGATAGAGGATATAATAAGAGACTTAAAAAACTGAATAATGAGAAGCTTCATAACTTCCATTCTTCAATAAACATTATTATGGTGATCAAGTCAAGGGGGATGAGATGTGCAAGGAATCTCATGGGAACAACAAGCAATAAATACAAATTGTTATTCAGATGATCTGAAGAGAAGAGTCCATTTGGAAAATTCAGATGTCAAAACAAAATTAAAACATACTTCAAAGAAATCAGGTATGAAGTTGTTGAATGGATTCATCTGGCTCGGTATAGGGACCAGTAACATGCTCTTGTAATCATGGTAACAAAGCTCTATATACATAAAAGATGGAAACTTCAAGAGCACCTCAAAAACTACTGACTTCTCAAGAAGCTGTTCCATGTAGTTAGTCAACAAAAAATTTAATTCATTGATCCAGTCTTTAATTTCCTAAATGTACATAGAGAATATAGAAAATTATACTTTAAATACAGAGCTTACTTTTTTGTATGCTATGTCAGCTGCAATAGAAGCATTGATTGCAGCATCTCTAGAACTCTCCAGAGCATCCACAATTTGCTGATATGCTTTACTAGCCCGGAGAGCAAAGTCTGCATCCCGCTGCGTTGCATTGAACAAGCTGAAAAAACCAACAGATAAAGTACAATACATGAACCAAAACATCTCATGCTACTGCAATTCACATAATCCACAAGATATCCATCTACTGTACAGTGACAGGCTACAGGCTGGATGACAGGGGTTCAGTTCCTAGTGGAAGATAACAACTGGGGAAACTTGGTTAGTAAAATGACTGGCTGCAGGTTGGACAACCAGTTTCTAATAGTGAGCAGGAACATGGAATTTCTATTCACCAATAGATCCAGAACCATTCTGGTGCCCACTCTGATCCCAACTGAGTGTACATCAGTGCTCTTTACCCCAAGGTAAAGCAGTCAAAGCATGAAGCTAGGCATTCACCTCATTCTAGTACAGAGTTTCGGTATATATGGAGCTTTACTTCCAATCCCCACACATCTTCATGGCATGATATTTGAGCACAGGGATACCTTCACCTTTTCCTTATTAACAAAATGTGTACAGTTAAAAAACATATTGTTTTTTACTATTGTAGACATTCATACATCCCTAATAAAAATCTTGAACCTTCATTTGCAGAGAAATGAACAGCCAAATACAGTCCTATAGTAACATTTACTATGAAAAAATAATATTTTACAGTTTACACATGTCTAGAAAACTGTAAGAATGGGAATAACATGACAGAAAGACAAAAGTAAAGACAAGTTTGTTATAAAACATTATGTAGTCTGAACAGGTTGGTCTAGGGGTAATAATCTAGGCTTGTAGTAGAGAGGTGCTTGTTTTAAATCTTGGCTGGGTTACTAACTCTTCTGACTGAGGGTTTTCACGGTTTACCTCAGTCACTCCAGAAAATGCTTGGAGAGTACCTTGATTAGGTCATGGCCACTTCTTCATCATTCATCTCTCAAACCATCTAACACTACATAGACTTGATATTTAAAAAGTGCAGTGAAGATTGCATAATATGATTCATTGAATTTAGATGTACATATAGCTGAAACAAGTTCATATCAAAATGAAACTTACTCTCTATAGTACTGTACCCGTTTTTGTAGCATGTCAGCATGCATCTGAGCCCTCAGTACATACTTCTCCTTGTAAATAGGGTTTAGATGGTCTAGGATTCCTTCCTTCTTCTCCAGCGCTGAGATTAAAGCAGTCAAATTCTTTGCCAGCACTTCAAAATTCTGTAGGAAACAACTAAACATGAGATAAAGTGAATCCACTCAGTTCAATCTGGCAAAGGATGACTAATTACAGCCTTCTTCCAGAATTGTCAGTTCTACCCCTCTTTCACACTCACTTCTTCTTCTGTTAGTAGAAGTACTGGAAACTACAGTAACCCCCCCAAAAAGAAACACAACAAAAAGATGTTATCAAATTCATACAGGTTTATTATATCACACAACTGTGGTAACAGTAGTTCTGCAATACAGGGATATATAAAAAGGCTAACACATGTAGCAATAAAAATATTACACACATTGTGTGTAACAAAAAAAGTAAAAGGTAACAGGCGGTGGAGGCCCACTGGGTTGTGAGACATTGAGGCTCTCACATTTTCTAGACAATCAGCCCACAGATGATGGCGAAGTTGTCAGCCTTAAGCACAGGCCGCCCTTTAACCCCAGATTCCTGGTACTCATTTCTGTTAGATGCTGAGTGAATCCAAATGCCACAGTGCAGCTGGAAGGATTAAGTTAACTAAAAAAATCCAAAGACCTCATGGGGAACCGAACCAGCAACCTTCCATCTTGTGGCATAGTGCCCCAACAAACAAAGTTGTGTTGGTATAATATTGTGACGAATATGACCATTTCTAGGCAATGGTTTGGTAAGCACTGCCTGAAAGCCAGAATAGTGGAGCCAGGGTGGAATAATCCATTGCTAGCCAACAGTTTGGTAAGCAGGTTTTTTGGCGATGGAAAAACAGAATAACATGAACTGTTCAAGGTGGTGTTCTATATTCAGGTCACCTGGAAGTTAGTTCAGTTCATGAGAGTTCAATCATTCGGCATTTATAAGGGAGTTCAATGATTCAGTGTGCAAAGATTCTTTGTTCTTCATTTGTCACAGTAGAAGAGAAGACACTCGTAGTCCAGGAAGGAATGGAGGGAGTCACAAACAGCCATTTATGGTGAGCTGTTATCACTAATTGTAATAGTAATAGAAATGTCAATAAATCCAATTATCCAGTCTGGAACCCATTATATTCATCATGCAAATCCATCATACATGACAACATTGTCACAATTTATGTGACTATAGATGGAATACAGGATGGTGAATGGATTTACTGACCACTTACACACACCACTGGGAATTACAAGTAATTACAGCCCTATCACTGACCTCCACATTTAACAAATCACTACACACTATGTCACCTCTATGCAGTCTTGTCTTTACTAGTAAATACAACACCACATGCTGTGAGGAAAAAGTAGGCTACAAACGTGAGGGGCAAGCTGCCGAAACAAAACACNGAGGAAACACGCAAACCAGGGACATATGGCAATCATAACTGAAAAGTAGGCTACAAACGTGAGGGGCAAGCTGCCGAAACAAAACACCCTGGACAGACATACATTTATGAAAATGCACGACACCCAGTGTGAGGTGAAATAATATGAACCAAAATAATGTGGGTACAATAGAAACTTTAAAGGATTTTATCTAGTTTTACCTTGAAAAGAGGACTACAGCGTGTGATTTTAACACGGACTAAGACAGTGTAGCAATTTTAACATTTATTCATTCATCAGTAATCTATCAGACGACAGGTCCACAGTCTCTTCCAAAACAATTCCTCCACTTAATGTGATCTAGAGCTTTCTCCTTCAAATGAGAATATCCTCTTCTGTCCTCAAGGTCATCCAGCATCTTCTTACGTCTTCTGGTCACTTCTATCCACCCCTCTATCTTTCCTTGAATAACTTCTTTTAGAAGGCAGTTACTGTGTAAGATATGACCAATCCAATTAGCCTTCCGTTTTCTTATTTCGTGTAGGATATTCCTCTGTTCACTGACTCTAAATAACACTTCTTCATTTCTTACATAATCAGTCCAACTGATCTTCTCCATCCTTCTCCAACACCACA